AATTTTGAATCCCCACCACCTAGGGATGCTTCCAGTCAAATATGGTTGATATCCACCTCTAAGTTCCAGAGAAGAAGTCGCTTAAAGCAATATTGCAAAATTGACCCCTTTTTGCCCCGCCTCTCAGCCCCCTGGGGGGTCAGCTCCATCATTTGTACAATTTTGAATCCCTGACACCTAGGGATGCTTCCAGTCAAATATGGTTGATATCAACTTCTCAGTTCCAGAGAAGAATACGATTAAAGAGATACATGACGCCGGTAACGTTTTTTTTTTGCATTTTTACAGATTGACAGAGAAATTCATATACCTTAAAATCAATACATAATTAGAATATACAACCAAAGTTGTTGATTCGTCTTGCCACCAAACACTAGAAATCTGTCCTCATAATAAATGTAAATTTGAATCGTCCAGCTGGTTCTACGCGCCATTGCTGATGAATATTCAACAGAAGTTTCCGAAAACGAGTCACGTGATAATTCGGAACACAACAAAAATGGATAGCGAGGTAAGAAACACGTGGTTTTGTTTACGATATTAAAATCGGTATGTGGGTAATGTAACACCACCACTGTGTTTAATTCTCAAGCAAAGCAAGTCTTTATGCTTAAAATATTACCTCCCATAATGTAGTATTCCAAATCAAAGTAATATGGCAAAGTTGGGAACTTTCAGTCGCAAGTTTTACACTTTAGCGACGAACAAAAATAGCTACCTGTCGAGAAGATAAAAAGCAACATCCTGGTTCCACCGCAACCCTAGTTCAGCCTTCAGCCTGTTCCATCTGTTGATGTGCTCCCAATATTAACTCGACTATAACCTGTTAGTCTGGCAAGCTCGAGTTTCCGTCGTTTCCGAGCCGAGGTTGTTAAATATTCAGCTGGACGACCACGTTTCAGTGCGTGTGTCGCCATATTGTTTTGGTTTTCGGAGGTCGGGTCATGAGCTCGGGTCATGAAGGTTACGTCATGTCACGTAACTTGTAGTTATGCAAAGTAACCTTTTATGGGAATTTATGCCGACATTTTTTTATCTTTATATTTACAGCTCTATGTTTGTAGAAACTTTTCAAACTTGGTATTAGCATAAAGTTTATAACTTTCTCTATCGAGGAAAAATAAGGATTTGTGTTGGGGTTCTTTTATAAGAGAGAAAGAGCTTTTCTGGCGTCATGTATCTCTTTAAAGCAATATAGCCACATTGACTCCTTTTGGCCACGCCCCTCAGCCCCCTGGGGAGTCAGCCCTACCATTTGTACAATTTTGAATCTCCATTATTCTGTTAATATTGGGCAATGTGACCAATGTTCCTTCTGTATGCAACACTCTGCATTCTCTTGAAAGTATGCGGTGTGTTACATACTTTCAAGAGTATTTTGGCAACACTCTGCCATTCCAAGAGGTACCCCAACACACAACTTGCTAGTAGGTGACAGATATCCCCTAGAAAAGTGACAGGCTGACTGGGGATTGGAGGGACGGAGTGCTAACCTACAGTTCTCTCCAGTTCTGTGATTGGAAGATTAAGAGGCTAAAGCAGTAAGGAAACTGCAGCTCAGACAAGATACAAATGAATGATGTATTACACAGCCTTTGCACTCATTCGGAGTGTATCAAATAGGGGATACAAATGTTTCGTGTGAAAAAACATACCAGCAGTACACTGGTGACCTTAAAATCTTATTTTTCATTGTTAAGTCGTTCATAGCTGTACTTACCGATACATCTCTAAATTGCTTGAGGTAAGCGACAACATTTTGTGGACCTGTTGCAAAGTCTAAATTCCCAGTAAACCTCTTTTGCTGAGCCAGCCATCTGTGACCTTCTTCATTCAGGCTTCTTACTATCACAGTTTGTTTGGTTATCTGAAGAAAGAATAGATATGATTTGATAAAATTTTCAGTACACATAATATCAGTGATCAAATCAAACAAGCCCTCTACTCTAAAGTCAGTGCTAGTACTGTATTTTACCGGCAATAAGCCCCCCCCCCCTCCTGAGAAAAAAGATGGGCCAAAAGTGTGTGTGGGGGGGGGGGGGGGCTTTATTGCAAGCACCCCCCCTGTTCACATAATTTCAACATGGTCCGCCATCTTGGATTTTATCTCACCATTTCAACATAAACAAGAGGCCCATGGGCCTTAACGGTCACCTGATATATTTATACAGAGTTGATTTTGTTTTTAACATGAACAGAAATATTATTCAAAGTGACAAAAAACAATAAAACCACCTTA